TATCTTGGAGTTCCAGAAGGCTTGGAATTAATCAGAATCAGAAAATTGTTCCCACTCATTGTAAATTAATTTGTTGATTCATATCAATTCCTAATTATGCTAGTGGCTAATCTGACAAGTAAGGACTACTGTAGTCGTAACCTTTGAGAGAGCTGGCTTGGCTCTATCTAGAAAAAAAATCAATAATCAATAATCAAATAATTGGTCATTTATCTTTTGGGTGCGTAACACTTCTGTTTCAAACCAAAACTTAACAATGAATAAAAATGTTACAACAACAATCAGAGTTTAAATCCAACAAGCATTTTTATACTATTAAATTAAAATGAAGTAAAAAGATGTATTTTTTTTTTATTTCACTGAAATCGTTAGGCCTTCTCTGAGCGCCAAGACAGCTTTTTAAAGGTTCCCCACTACTTCAAAAATGTAAACGTGTTGGATAATTCAGTCACTGAGGTGTAAGTAGTCATTCAGAGTGGTTTGACATGGAGAGGCACATTGTGGAGAAAATGACACTCTGTTTGCATTCTGAAATACAGGTATAGCTAGTATAGCTATTTTTATAACATACAAAACAACCAATGAACTTCCATGTCTCTTCTGAGTTTTATAAATAATGATGATAATGATAAAATATATAAAATATAGTGATAAACCTGAAAGAAAAAGTTTTCTTGAGGTGCTATTTCACCTTATAAGACCCTGCATGTACCTCTATACCTCTATAAAACAGTGTCTCAGTCATCAGGCAGTGAATTCATAACCATTTCATGTAGTATCTTTCTGTGAGGGAGCTTTTAGAGGAGGACGTCTGGTTCCTATCACCACCACTGTGAACAATTCTGACTCTTTTCTGTACTATGGTGCATTTTGCTTCGGACCACTTTGAATGACTTTGTTTACGTCTTCACCACTTCATTATGCAGAAAGTTTTGAAAAATCTGTGGAATTCCCCTTTGAAGCAGGGCGAACGCTAAACTCCACATTGCTGTGGCTCTGAAGGACGTGTCCGCCCTATATGTCACCTCTCTGACCCGAGGATATAGGTGAGAGCAACAACACGCAGCACAACCACACGTGCACATGCGTTCCAAAGAAAAGACACAGATAGGTTGGAACACTCTGTCCTTTTCCAGCTTAATCACTTGAAATGGAATAGCCCCACATGTGATGTTTACCGAGCAGGTGTCTGAGAAGTCCAAATTTAGGTGCACTGGGTCTCTGCTCGTCATTTTGGCTTCATAATTGCATGCCTGCAGTTTCTCGACTGCTCTGAATCAGTGCCCATTGCTATTAGGAGCTCCGCAGGATAGAATATCGGCAAGATGAAAACACAGCAAGGCCGGGGGTCTCCTGGTTCAACGCGACAGCAGCCCAAGAACCCGTCTCTGCCTTCACTGCATTCACTCAGGAGCTGACGTGAAATTACACTATTAATGTATCATTACTGTATAGTAACTGAATGTTGGCGCTGTGTGATTCCTGATTGAAAGGCCTAAACTGGTTTAGGCTTAATCTGGATCTGCAAAACTAGGCCAGAATGTACAGGCTCAGTGAGTAATATCTGCAGGTCTAAATATACTTTGATGATCATTACAGGATCCTAATAAACTGGTTTTGAATCCCTACAAGAGTCAACATCCAACATGTGCCAGTGTTTCTAAATTCATTGCCCCTGTTTGTGCACAGTACATCAAAATATGTCAAAATATGACAAATGGTCATATAAGTGTGTATAAATGCCACCGCTGAGCATTAAGCATTGAGAAAGGGTCGTCATGCAGGCCCAAATGTCTCCCTGCACAACACTTCAGCTTGAATTGGTGGACTTTGGAGCTGAAAGTGGCATTGTTTTTGTTCAATCTTACACAAAGCCCCTTTCTTTGAACGTAACAGGTGGAATTTGTGTATCCACTGCGGTATTTTATTGATCAGTGTATCCAAAACAGACCTGCCAGGCCAGGGGTCACCAATCTTACCCACAGAGGGCTGGTGTGTCAGCAGGTGTTCATTCCTATCAAGCAGAAGTAGATTTGATTGGAATCAAAACCTGCAGCCACACCCTTTGCGGACTGGTGACCCCTGGGCCAGGCGTTATCAGATAAGCTTCGCTGGGCACAGGTTGTGTAGGTGCCATTTTAAATGCCTCCAATTGTTCACCATCCAAGCTTAGGAATATGAACTACTGCAATGGAATTTGAGGAAAGATGAACAGAAACAAGTCATTCTTTAAAGTGTCCATATAATTTAAAACTGAAATTTCTTGTTTTTCTTTTTTAAATAAAAGAATTTTATATGTTTATACTACATAAACATGGTTAAAGTGTGAAACATTCTGTTCACTTCCAGTTCATACAGTCCATATCGCTGTTGTCAGAAGAAAACCTTGTATCTCCATTTTTTGTCATTTTTCATTTTTTTGACATAGTTTGAAAATACATGATATCCTTTACATTGTGTGTAAATTGCATGATGAATGGACTAAAAGAAACAACCCAAAATGACTTGGAAAAAAGTCTGGTTCCATTGACTTACATTAAAAGTAAAGTATGTTTTTTCCTTCTCCTGTGAAGTTACCGTTTTGGAGATACAAGGTTTTCTTCCGACAGCAGTGATATAAGGAAATGAAGCTTCAAAACAGCTCAGTTTGAGTCCATTGTTTTTGACAAAAACATTGTTTTTGACAACATAATCAACATATTTAAATTTATCCACCTATTCAGCCTACAGTAGTTTAGCCCCACTGAAGTTACAGTAGTTTTTCACACTGAAGTTAAAGGAGTGTTTCAGCCAGGACTGCTTTTTGAATGAGGCAGCCCCATCAGAACAGAGCTTATTTACATATGTCAGTCTTGAAGACACAGTAACAAAACAACCTGTTTAATTCTAAGGGGTTAAGAGAAGTTGGAAAATGGTTGTTTACTAATGAATCATCTGTTTTTTTGTACATACCTCACAAATTAAAGGGCCCCTTAATTTCCAGTAAATCAAACTGTGGTAGAAACATGCTGAGGCAAGCTTTTATGACTTGTTTCTCTGCTCTAGTCCCTTTAAAAAATTGGAAAGGTATCCTGATGGTAATACTGATACTTTTAAAGCCATCTTGTGCACATAAAGGGAATTTTCAAAGTGAAAACTGGTGATGCAAACAGTGAGGACCCCAGCAATTAATGCTAAAAGAAGACACTGCTATCAATATTTTTAATGGGAGGATTGATATGCAAAAATTTATGATTGCATGTACAGATTCTTCTGTATCGATCTGCACATCCATACATTTTTCCTCGCTCAGCTGTGGAATAAAAAATATCTCCAAAATCTAGACATCATTGTGGATCAAGACAGCCCAGGCTTGACACACAGACACCGTGACCCTTACCATTAAATCATCTCAAAGCTCCAATAAGCAACATTTTTATGATGTTTTTGTACAAAAAGAACCAGTTATACTAGCTCCCTGCTGGTCATGGCATGAAAATGAGAAGGAACTTTTATAGGCCTCGTTACATTCAAAGATTTTTCCTTACACAAAAATGATGCTTACTTTCCCCCCAAAAGTCAAAATACCTCAACTCGGACTGTAGTTATGCCAGACAGTCATTTCAGCCAATTGCATACAGATGGTATATGTAAAGCCTTGAAGAGCTCATATTGTGGAAAACGTAGACTTCTCGACAACAAAAAAACCCCATTTTTTGTTTTGTCATTTGTAAACATTTCAAAACTGATCATTCATTCTTGAGTCCATATATAGAAACTAAGCTGCAAAGAACCAGCCCATTCTGTATTTATTGTTTACATAATGTATTTACATATACCTGCCTATTCAGCCTGCTGCAGTTTACATTTACGCTGAAGTTGGGAATTTCTGCCCAGACCGGTTCTTGAAGCAGAAACAGTGCAGCCAATCAGAATAGAGAACATATCCGTCATTTCCATATCAAAAACAGCCTGTTTCATTCTGAAGAGAAGTAGTCATGTAAAAATTAATAATGACTTATGAGTTTTGGGTACATGATTCAAAGCAACTGTTAGAGTAGAATATGGGCCCATTCAATCACATACACTATATGGACAAAAGTATTGGGACATCTACACATTACAGCCACAGGAGGCTCACAATCTCTGTTCCAGTTCAAAAGGTGTTGTCAGTCAAGTTCTTCCACACTAAACTCACCCAGTCAGGCCTTTATGGAGCTGCTTTGTGCACTGGGGCTCAGTCATACTGGAACAGAAAAGGTTCTTCCCCAAATTGTTCCCACAACAATTATATGTGTGTATAATTGTCCAAGATGTCTTGGTGCTGAAGCATTAAGGGTTTCCCTTCACTGGAACTAAGGGTTCTAGATCAACCTCCGAAAAACAACCCCATATCATCATCCCTCCTCCACCAAACTCTACAGCTGGCACAGTGCAGTCAGGCAGGTAACGTTCTCCTGGCATTCGCCAAACCCAGACTCGTCCATCAGACTGACAGATAAGCCTGATTCGTCACTCCACAGAGTGGGTTTCCATCGATTCAGAGTCCGGTGGTGGCACTACACCCTCCCCCACCCTGCAAGGCTATGTGCTTAATTTTACCCACTTGTTAGCAGTGGGTGTGGCTGAAGCACCTGAACTCAATAATTAAGAGGTGTGTCCCAATACTTTTGTCTATATAGCACATCAGTTTAAGAATTGTACCCTGTTGTCTGCAAAGACTGTTATAACTTATAGAAAATAATTTTTCTAAACCCATTTTTCCCCTCATTACTTTTTGCTCTTTCTATGATTTCTCACATATTATTTGCTTAAATGTTCAGGTTTAAATGGCAGATTTTAATCATAGCACTTTTGATATTGTCAGGGATTATGTCAAGTGACTAAGCTTCACAAACTCTATGCAGGATAACTTCCTAACTAGCCCCTCTTTGCTTGTCAAAACACCTTCAAAATATCTGATATCTCCATTCAAATTATCCAAAAGTACAGAAAAGAAACACTAAAGCAACAACGTTTGGTAAAAGTATGAAGTGTTTTTAATGTATTGGTGATAGACAAAGTTAAACCATTCTCTTTCCTGTAATAAATCTGGCGCTGTAAGAATAGAATACTAAACACTTCCTCAGGCAACAACAGGAAAAGTCCACAAGGGAAGTTATACAAATATGTAAAAATCACAAAATGCATCTTGGACCCCATCAGAAGCAATAGAAACCAGTGATCTGAATCCAAAAATGGACTAGAACATGGCAATGACACTGTCTTAAAATAAGTGTAAAACTTTTGGTTAGTTAATAAAAACCATGTTAAAATGCATCACATGCTCAAATAGAGGTTCACAAATGTCTATGTACAAAAACAGCTAGTCCTAGTTATACAAGTGGAGAAGACATCCACACAGCCTTCCTCCTTTAATCACACTAGATGTCAGCCAGCATCTGGAATTACAGGGTCTGTTGCAATAACTTTAAAACTGGGAAAACTGGCAGTGGGCACACTTTAAAAAAAAATAATAATAAAAAAAAAAAAACCCTAGATGAAGAGTTTCATCTAGTCCCTCTCTTGTATTAGATTGACCAGTCAGCTAAATACAAGGCTCCAGTAAAACCACAGACTACAGTACAAAAAAATAAAATAAAAATATAACCCACATGGCCTAAACAGTTCATTTGTGTTCCACAGGCTCCTCTCCTTCCTCATTGAGCAGGCACGTACGAACGAGGGCTTCGGTAACGGCGTATGGGTCGCAGTTGGCCGATGGACGGCGGTCTTCAAAGTAACCCCGCTTATCTTGGCCTACGGCGCGCGGGATACGAATGCTAGCACCACGGTTAGCCACTCCAGCAGAGAACTCGTTGATGTTGGAGGTTTCATGGTGACCGGTCAGACGTCTGGCGTTGTCCAGTCCCCCTTTCGGGTCGTAGGCACGAATGTGGTACTGATGTCTCTTGCCCAGCTTCTCAATGGCCTCCTCAATGTGCCTGCAGTCACAGAAGAAAGACATGATCAGTCCAGCTGTGTAACGGCATTCTACTCAAGTATATTTGTAAGGAAAACAAATGTACTTTCTACTCATTTCCACTTTAGCCATTCACATTTAAGCTACTAATTCCTTTTGTTTGGGTTTAATTTCATTCTATTCTGTTGGTTCAGCTCCTGAACTGCTTTGCTGTTGGTCACATTTCTCACTTTAGAGCATCAGCATTTTATTTTAGACTACAAGGATCCCAAAAAGAGACAATCCTTTAGGTGCTGATGTACCAGGTTCCACTGCAGATCTGGAAAGAACTCCAGTTTATGTAAGACAACTTTTATTTCCATTTGAGTCATAATTTCCTTAACAATACTTAACAATACGTGGGTAGGAGTTTATTCTACTCTAGCCGCATTTAATGACTAGATAGTTTAAAGGTTTAAACAGATTCCATTACAAATTCAAGTAAAAAACAGGCTTTGTTTCTTTCTACATACTTCAGGCCTCCCTCCTCTCGCATCTCCTTTGTGCTGAAGTTGGTGTGGCATCCGGCTCCGTTCCAGTTCCCTGGGATGGGTTTGGGGTCGAAGGAGACCACAACACCAAAGTCTTCACATACCCTGTGCAAGATGAAGCGGGCCATCCAAAGGTGGTCCCCCATGCTGATGCCTTCACAAGGACCCACCTGGAATTCCCACTGAAGAAAAAGACAGGAGTGTTCATTGTAAGTATGATTACACGAATCACCTTGATTTAATGTGCTCTTAAGCTCTCTACTGGAACTGGAAAAGCCTCACCAGAGGAGGTTCAGTACTGTAATTTGTCCATTTGTGTCTATTGGCAGGTTTTGTTATTGCTTTAGCGTGAAGTGGTAGCATCATCAAATACTCCTCCCACCCCAGCCACACTGTTTAAACTCCCATCTGGGAGGAGATACGGAAGGATCCAGACCAGAACCAGTCGGCTCAGGTCCACCTTCTTTCCCTCCACCATCACTCCACTTATACTCATTCTTGTATGTTACATACGATATTTATTATTATTTATTATCTCTCTGCATTTCCATACAACAGACTGTTCACTGTATATGGACTACAACACATAACTGCTTACTCTGACAGTACATAACATACTGTATATATTATATTTATAGTATTGTGTATACACACACGTATCTATCATCCATAGATATAATTGTGTATATATTGATCCTATAGTTATATATTTCATAGATACGTCATATTTATGCCTGTTATTGCACATTTGCACTGTCTGTTTTGCACTATTGCTACTATTTGCATGTCTGGTTGATGCTAACTGCATTTCGTTGTCTTGTACTTGTACTGAGCAATGACAATAAGGTTGAATCTATCTATCTATCCATCTATACATCTATGAAGGACCTCTGTATAGATGGCCATTTACTCAATAATTACTACCGTTAGATGGTACAAACTACATACAGTAGATTCATACACTCTAAAAACAGATGTGTTAAAAAAGCATTGTCTCCAACAGCCTTAAACAGTGTTAAAACGGGTAACAAGTGTGTTTTTATTTAAAACATCACTTTTTAATCCACTACACTTTAGAAAAAGTCACAAATTTCGTTTGTCATCACTTAAAATTGCAGTACCTCCTCAAGTAAAACTAATCCAGCACCAAAAGAACTTCAGAGATTTACCTGTGCAGGCATAACTTCAGCGTTGGTGCCACAGATTTGAACTCCAGCATATAGACAGGCTCTGTAATGGGCCTCAACGACATCTCTTCCAAAGGCCTTATCCGCGCCCACTCCACAGTAGTACGGACCTATTCAAACACAAGGTACCGTTCATTTAGGTGGGAAGGACAAGCATTCACACATCTTAGATCAGCAAGATAATTTGAACCAAAACCAAGCCTTTTAAATATAAGAGATGAAAGACATTCTCATTAGATATAATTGAAGCCTTTACATTTGGCCTAAATTACCCATCTTGATAACCCCTACTTTTACTCTGGGCTCTAACACAGAACTCCTCAACATTCACCTTGTGGTCCAGGGAAGCCGTTTGTGGGCCAGCCGAAAGGATGACCGTCTATGCCCAGAATCGTGTACTCCTGCTCCATGCCGAACCAAGGATGCTGGTTCTCCACCATACCCATGATCTTTTTACACATCTGACGAAGGTTGGTTTCTGAAAATTCGATCGGGTCATTAAGCGGCGCATTTTTCCCCACCCCTTAATTACTTAAGCCATTTTAAACATGCAGGGTGCGACATTTTACTAGCAAATATGAATAAAAACATCTATGCAAATCTTTTTTTCACTAGTAAACTTATCATTTAACCAGTATTCATTCATTACATTCAACCTGAAGGTTCTTACCTGCAGGTTTGCGGTTGTACTTGAGCACTTCGCACAGAATGAGCTTGTTGGGGTCCTTCCTGAACGGATCTCTGAACATGGCCTTTGGGATGAGATACATGTCACTGTTGGAGCCTTCCGACTGGTATGTGCTAGAACCATCAAAGTTCCACTCGGGGAGATCTGTGAAAAGTTAAAGCCATTAGCAAAATAATACATCACAGTACAGAGAGGCTCAGAAAAGAAATCACACTTGGGAAAGCGTTTAGGTACCATTTGTGCCTTTTAGCACTTATTCACTGCTAAAACTTCAGTGAAAGTTGGTACCTTCGACGGTCTTGGGCTCCTCGTCCAAAGTCCTGGTTTTGCAGCGGAGTCCCTCTCCTGTCCCATCGATCCAGATGTACATGGCCTGCACCTTGTCTCCCTGTGGGAGCTCCATGTACTGCTGCTTCACAGCTTTACTAAGCCTGGCACTGGATGAGGTGGCCATTGTGTTGGCTATAAGAAACCTGAGGAGGAGAGAAGAGACACGTCTGTTGAGTTGGTTCAGCTACAGTGCTAAAATTAGAGCAATAACACCAAACACTTTACTGGACATCAACCAGAAAGAACAATCAGTAGAGGTTATTGGTTCAAACCATGTTCATTCAAACAGCACAGCCATCCAAATATAGATAAAGATGTAGGCTGCATCCAAAACATACTACAATATACTATACATTCTATACTATACTAACCAATCCATTGTGATGTATTATTTTGGCATATTATTTTAAAAAATGGCTCTTTAATGGTTCTTTAGGAAAGGGGATGGTTCTATTAAGAACCATTTCATGTTTAAATGTAACGTGTAATGGTTCTGCAGATTGATGGAGAATGTGTTGTATATACTGCTACATAGAACCTTTTTGAAAATGGCTCTAAATGACAACCAATAAAAGGTTCTTCTACTGCTACAAGATTGACATCATAACAATAGAAGAACTTTTTAGGTATAGAATCATTTCATGTTCACATGGTTCTCTGCATGGTGCGATCATTCTTCAGATTAATGGAGCCTATAAAGAACCGGTTCGAAGGTTGCTACAAGCTTGACATCATACTTAAACGATGGAGAATGTTGTATATAGAACCTTTTTGAAAATGGTTCTATATAGCACCAAAAGGGTTCTTCTGTTATGATGTCAAGCTCGTAACAATAGAAGAACCCCTTGTTTTGGTGCTATATGGAAGCATTTTCAAAATGGTTCTATGTAAACAACCAATAAAGGTTCTTCTACTGCTATACGATTGACATCATAACAATAGAAGAACCCTTTTTTGGTATAGAACCATTTCATGTTTAAATGGTTCTCTGCATGGCACAATCATTCTTGGTGATGGAGTCTATTAAGAACCTTGGTGATGGAGTCTATTAAGAACCTGTTCGAAAACAGTTCTAGGGTTCTTCTACTGTTATGATGTCAAGCCCTTAACAATAGAAGAACCCCTTGTTTTGGTGCTATATGTAACCATTTTCAAAATGGTTCTAGGCAAAAACCATATACACAACACATTCTCCATCACCATTTAAGAATGAACTGATCCTATATAGAAGTCATAGTTCTAAACAGAGCCGTTCCCTTTACTAAGGAACCCCTAAAGAACCCTCTTTTAAGCGTATAGGACAACAAAGGCAGTAAACCTTTTGGTTACATGATCTAGCAATCGATCAAAGGGATTTCATAAGGGAAGAAATCTTTTAAGAACCATTGAACACGGTCAACAGAACAACACGGCGGTGAAAATAAGAAAGAAAAACAACCGTCCAAAGATGGTGACCTGAAGTGCCGCTCAGTGTCCGTCCTTTCATACCCCAGTCAGGCTGTAGGTTAATAATAAGGCTCACTATTTGACTAGAATGATGCACAGACGTCGTAAAAATCCGCAGTTTTAACCTTTTTAACAGACGCCAACAAAGAAACACGGCAAGGCTTCGGTTCACTTCTCCCAAACACACCACAGCACTTGAGTGGATCGAGAAGGCTCGACGAGCCCTACCAGCTATATCAACATCCACACAACGCAAGCCAAATAAGATGCTGACTACACTACATCCACAGGTTACACGGTGGATGTGCTCATTGTTTGACCACGATGACGCAACAGAGAGGATGAATTGCGGCACCGCAGGCTGTGACAAAAGAAAACCAGCAAATCTTAACATTAAGCGTTTACTAATAAATATAAGCTCGAAATTGCGACACGGAACAGGATCAATAAAAAATGACCCGTGTACCGTGATGAAGACAGAGGGGCGCATAATAACCCCCCCTCCTCCACTGTACCGATGAAGCGTCAGTAACACGTACCTTTCAACAGGAACAAGTAATCAGTTCGTGACTGGCTGTGTCTCCAGCTGGTTTTAGTAGGTCCTCTTCCCTGTTTTTCTCTCATTCTCTGGCCGAGCGGCGCATCCTCGGCTCGGACTTTTAAACGGACCTGCCCGTCCCGGATTGGACAGAGACACACGTGATGGGGCCGTGCTCAGGCGACGTCAGAGCGCGGTGAGAGCTCATTGGGTGGGTCACGGAAGCGAATCTGTCTCCATCTCCACCCTGCGGCTTTGCGCGCTGAGCCGAGTGCGCACTGACGATACGGGCTGAGCCGAGTGCGCACTGATGATACGCGCTTTAATCAATAAAGCTGAAATAGATAACCACGGAATAGAGAGTATAGATGTCTGGGGAGCGCGCATCCGTCTTTTTTGCTGTGTTAAAAGTAGTGGATCACACAGAAGAGCGTATTTTCACGTTCACCACCACGTTTACGGGTTTTCACCAGCGGAAAAGTTTTTTTTACCACCGGAAATCCTGTGTATCATCGAGAGAGAGAGAGAGAGGTTCTCACTTGTAAATGCGTATTTATTGGTCGTTCAAGTGAAGTTTACCTGCTTAAATACGACTTTAGAACTAGTCAGCTGATTTAAGACTAACCTGTCCAACTGTATGAGAAGATCAGGTCATATTGGGTAACTTAAAAGGGGAATTCCACCGTGTTTTCAAAAGTTCTGTGTAACTCAGTGGTGGAGATATAACCAAAGCCATACAGATTGGTTGATGTGAAGCGATTCATTTTGGAGAGAAACGTACAGATGGTGAAGGGAACCAGGAGTCCAGATGTCAACAATGCAAAGCAACCACTTTATTTACTGTTAAAAAATCACCAGTGAACCTAAAACTACATGATTTTGCCTTAGAATGCCCTTTGTCTATCCCTCCACCATGAATGGAATCAAATAAATTGATTAATATACATTTTAGATCTAAACTTTGTCACAAAGCTACTGTAAAACAGTGTCTTAGTCATCAGGCAGTGAATTCATAATGTTCATTTCATGTAGTAACTTTCTGTGAGGGAGCTTTTAGAGGTGGACGTCTGGTTCCTATCACCACCACTGTGAACAGTTCTGACTATGTTTCTCTACAACAAAGCATTTCACAGCAAACCACTCTGGATGAATGCATGTTAACCATTTAATTATGCAGAAATAAAATGTATATACATGTGTGTGTGTGTGTGTGTGTGTGTGTGGGGAGGTCCCCTTTAAGCCAGGATTTCCCAATATACCCTGACTTCTCCTCCTATTTCCTTGATTATCCCGCTCTGCGAAATTACCTCCAGTACTCATTACAGTTGAAAATGCTGCAGCACATCCTCTTACTTAAACCTAGTAAAGCCCAGCTTGCTGTAAAATGTAAGTTAAAACCGAAAAGCTTACAAAAATATGTGATCGAATTTGGCGCACCATAGTACAAGTAGGCCTAATTAAGCATGGCCCAAGTGCTTGTTGAGCCCTTAATGCAAATACTAAACCAGGCTTCTCATACTAAAAACATTCATCTGAGGGTAATATTCACAATATAATATATGGATTTCAAATGTATGACATATATTAGCATTCTGCTAATAAATCCATCTTCTATGAGACACATATGGACCTAAATGTGACGTATGACAACTTATTTAAAAACATGAGACATATTTCAGTCATATATCAACATATTTAAACTTGTGTTACACATGTTTAACAATATAAGATAGAGAGCATTGATCATATATGGATGGCATGTACTCATACGCTATCTTTATCTTATACAAGTTTTTTTTTTATTGCATATATGTTCTGTGTTTGTGTTAGGCACTTATGTATGATCCATGTATTAGACATATGTCTCAGACAGGCAGTATATATGTGATCCATACATTATGCATATACGTCCAAACTTATATATACACATTTTAAAATATATGCCTGATTCTTTACGATGTGTATGTATATATGGCCATGTATCAGACTTCCATATGGGTATCTAAGCAATAAAATCCCACATTGAACTAAGGTCATAGATGACAGTACTGTTAGCTCCCGTCACAAAGAGAAAAATCAAGACTCTTATTATGTAATTATGTCAGGCCTTTATTTTTTTTTATTTAATTTATTTAAAACGTGATGGCTTAAATCTAAGAGGCCTTAACAGTCACTCTGTCACTGATAAGAGTAGGTAAATGGCGGCCCCTTGTGGCTCCTCACGGAAACAGTGCTTGTGATTCAGCTTCAGAAAACACGACAAAATCCATTTATAAGCAACAAGTTACTCATCATGCAAAAGCAGCACTGTGAAGTAATTATCGAATGAAAAATCTTATGAATTGATTTTAATTGATTAGCTCAGGTTAAAGGACTCATGATGAGACGAGTGGGTTGGTAAGCTGAGTGGATCAGTCAGTGTCTGTATGCTTAATGACCGTTTAACACCTCAGTGTGACTTTAGCCTGTAGGGGTGTTTAAACTGGCAAACAGTGAAGCTGAGCCACTTGACACATTCCTTTCTTGTAATTTTGGGTAATTATCATAAGAAAAGAACCAGCTGCACCTTTGTGCTTAGACAGACTTTTGAATTAAAACCTGGCCAGCTGGTTTTATGGCCAAGCGAGTGAGTTATAAGGATCACTAAACTGTGAATTTGGTGTAGCGCTGTGTATAAAGCAGTTCTGATGAATTAAAAACTACCATCTTTGAAACAAAAAGAGCATCAGTACTCACTGTGTAAGACACACAACTCAAGTATGTGTTGATAGATGAAGTCTATTTATATATTATATTTTTAAATCTGTCAGTAATAAGTATCTTCTCATTTCTTTCTCAAACTGAGATGTTGCAGATATTTCATTTATTCAGATGCTTTCTTTGACTGTTTTTGTGATAAACTGCCATATTCTGTTCTCAGATTTTGTGATGAGCCTGTATTTCACCTGACATGCTATGTAAATATTCAAATAGATATACTTTTATTTCTATTCTCTATTTTAACAACAATTTTTTTTATTTTCTGCATAGTATATGTAAGTTTATGTGCAATTATATGTCTTGCTTTTAAAACACTGCAATTTCCCTTCTGTCTGTCTGTCTGTACTGTGTTAAACAAGCAATCAAACATTGTAAAGCAAAATTCTGTAAAGTCTGAAACACAGTAATGATAAAAATAGAGTAAAATAAAAAGAAAATGAATTAATAAAAAAAATAAAGGAGGAGAACAACATGAATATGGAGTTACCAAGACTGAAACTAGGAACCAGTGTATTAGAGATTTTGGTCCCACTTTATTTTACGTGTCTCTAATAACCGTGTAGTTACATGTGAACAACATATGCAACAACAATGTAACTACTAATGATTTAGTCACTGTTACAGATGATTACAGAAGTACACTTTGTATAAATACACAGGTGTATCAACTTCAGTTTTGCCTCATGTAATTTCACAAGTGTAATAACAAACATAAGTACATTTGTAATCAGACTGGAACAGCAGTATTTTCAGAAGTTTTTTTTTTCTTTCCAGCAGTAAAAGGAGGGATGTAATAACTTACATTAAGACATTACTGACACTGTACCTGCCAGCTTTCCTAACATTTAGCTAGCATTTATCTAGTGCTGAGACATTGTAACCAGTTTCAGCTTTAAACCATTCTGTAATGTGACAGAACAGCAGATGTCCACTTATCTTACAACTTAACTTTTATCACATTTAATTAATGTGTTGCATTTCCCCCAAAGCAACGTCTATATTACCACTCCATTATTACACAGTACCTACATAATAACTACACAGGAACTGTCCACTTATTTTAAAGTGTAACTTTACATTACAGGAAAGTTCCTGTGTAGAAGATACACTTGTGTAATTACGTGAGGCAAAACTGAAGTTGAAACACGTGTAATTACATAGGCTGTACTTCTGTAATCCATCTGTAACAGTGGTGTTGCATATGTTATTCATGTGTAACTACACAGTTATTAGAGACACTTACTATAAAGTGGGACTGAGATTTATGTGAAATATTGTTTGCTCAAGGAGTCATGTTAAAAAACCCAGCTGACCCATGTATCTGTTGACTAACAGCTCTAACAAGAATGTATAGCAGTGAGTGAAATCTAGCAGCTTCGTTATGCAAACGGAAACAGTTATATCATGTAAATGAGATCAGTGTAACTCCTTTTCTCTCAAAGCTGTGAATACTCACTTTTTGTAGGCCCAGTAGCTGAAACAGTGACCGTTTCCTGGCACTAACAGACAAACATTGTGTTTCATTGAGGGAGGTTTTATTATTTAAAAGCCTTTTGCTGTTTCAGTATAAAAAACAAAATATGGTCAGCACACTGCAGCTGATTTGGGCTTTTTGATTGACAGGCCATGGAGATTATGTTGTTGTGGTTAAAGGTTGAACTGTGTGTGTTTACTGTGCTCAGGGGGGCTGAAGTGGAAGAGTGGCTGCCGAGAATACGGCTGTAGTGTGTTGAGAAAGCAGAAGTCTTTCAGTCTTATTTCAGAGACACACAGAAACTAGGAACCAGTGACAGCAGGTGAGTCATTATAGTTACAGACGGGTTTATGATTAATGTGCCTAAAAGAACAGTAACCTTCTGGATTATGGTCAGAATCAGTTTATAAGGGGGATTACGTTTGTGTTTTGCCCAAGGTACAAAAGAACAATATTAGCTTTGCTGATAGAAGCATGAAAGTAAACGCTAAAATTTAGACGATTTATTCTCGGTTAAATCATAATAGCAGAACTGAGACTGAACTGGAAACACAGATGCAGAACTGAGCCTGACTCAGTGAATGAACAGCATGCACCAATCCAAAAACTGTTATTAAAAATAATAATAATATATAAAAAAAATACATTTTACTCTCACTGGCCACTTTGTCAGAAACGCCTCTCTTCTAGCTCCACCTTGCTGGTGTATAATTAAAGACTGTAGCCCACCTGTTTGTGGTAGCCATCCTCTAGCCTTCATTAGTGGTCAGTTTCTGACCACAGACCCTGTTGTCAGCCTCCTATACTAGTCTGATGATGGATTTTCAACACAAATGTAGCAGAAATATAATGCGCATATTTGAAACTATTTCTTGCATTACATTTAATTGCCAGAGG